CCTAACCATCCTTGATCCCCCACCTCCCTATCCTCCTGCACAGGCACCTCTACCTCAAGAACTACCTCATCCATCCCCTGATTCCACTGAACCTGATCACTCCTCTCCACCATCTAGTAGACTCCGTCTGAGAAGAGATAGAGGGGGTCCCTCTGATGGAACTGGGACTGCCCAGGTTTTCCCTCTGTGAACTGTAGGGGATCAGATCCAGTATTGGCCTTTTTCAGCCTCTGACTTGTATAATTGGAAAACTCATAACCCCTCTTTTACTCAGGACCCTCAGGCTTTAACTGCTTTAATTGAGTTTATTCTTCTTACCCACCAACCCACTTGGGAAGATTGCCAACAACTCCTCCAGGCACTTCTAACCACAGAGGAAAGACAACGAGTCATCTTGGAGGCCCAGAAAAACATCCCCGGGCAGGATGGGAGACCCACTCAGCTCCCAAATGAAATAAACGCAGGATTTCCTCTGACCAGAACCAACTGGGACCCTGAAACCGTGGCAGGTAGGGAGTTTCTCTGTCTTTATCGCCAGACTCTGTTAGCAGGTCTCAAAGGGGCCGGAAGGCGCCCAACCAATTTGGCAAAGGTACGTGCTATAACCCAAGGAAAAAATAAAACCCCCGCAGGGTTTCTAGAACGCCTGATATAGGGATATCGGATGTACACCCCTTTTGATCCCACAGCCCAGGAGCGTCAGGTAGATCTTATTATGGTTTTTATAGGACAATCAGCTCCTGATATTCGTGGTAAGCTCCAATGGCTGGAGGGCCTTTAGGGGTACTCCTTACAAGATTTAGTAAGAGAAGCTGAAAGAATCTATAATAAGTGAGAAACTTCAGAAGAAAGAGAGGACAGAATCAGAAAAGAGCAGGAAGCTAAAAAAGATAAGAGAGAAAAAAAGATAAATAAAGAATTAAGTCGAATTTTGGCCACAGTAGTTCAGGGAACAGGACCAGGACTAGGTAGGAACGTGGGAGACAAGAGAAGGCCCCGAGTGGATAAAGACCAGTGTGCCTATTGCAAGGAGAGAGGACATTGGGCTCGAGAATGTCCGAAGAAGCTGAACAGACTTCAAAAGAAAACAACCCCAGTCCTGACTCTAGGGGACTAGGGAAGTCGGGGCCAGGAGCTCCCCCCTGAGCCCAGGGTAACCTTGAAGATAGGGGGGCAATTGACTACCTTTATG